GCGGGGCTCGGGCCGCTCGGAGCGGGAGCTTCCCGCGTGCGGCAGGTCCCGCCGGGAGTCAGACCTCCGTGCGAGCAGGTGGGCGCCCGCCCGCGCGTGCCGGTAACGGGAGCCGCCGTCCCGCCCTTGCTGCGCCCCGTGGCCACTTCCCCAGTCCCGCGCCCCGGACGTGGATAACTCTGCTCCGAGGCTCCCGAGCAGCTTTGCCCCCCCGGCCCCATTTTACGGCTCTTCCCTTTCCCCACGACTGCTGCCATCACTGCGCGGCCGCTCCTTGGAGCCCGGCTTGGAGCAGATCCACCCAGAGCCCTTCCCTCGCTCCGAACACCTTGCATCCCGGTGCCAAAAGGCAGGAGAGGTTCCCCCAGCCCTTCCCTCGCTCCGAACACCTTGCATCCCGGTGCTGAAAGGCAGGAGAGGCTCCCCCAGCCCTTCCCTCGCTCCGAACACCTTGCATCCCGGTGCCGAAAGGCAGGAGAGGTTCCCCCAGCCCTTCCCTCGCTCCGAACACCTTGCATCCCGGTGCCGAAAGGCAGGAGAGGCTCCCCCAGCTTTTCCCTGTTTGATGAAAAATAGGGAAAATACCACCAAATAGGACACGGCAGGGAGAGAGAACGAACCCCCTGCTCTGCTTTTAAAGGCTTTAATGCAGGGAGGAGGAAAAAGGGGGAATATGCGGCTAGAGGAGGAGGGTGACAGTGTAGTAGATGTTTTGGACCGTGGCCCACGTTGAGCTGTCACCCTTGGACTCCGTGTGGCTTTCGCAGCTCTGCAGATCGATGGTGTCTTGTGCAAGGGGCCCCGTTAGTGCCCAGGCCGTCACRGGCACCGGCTGCAGAGCCTGGGGGACGGAACAGCGGGGTCGGCTTCAAAATGGGGTGAAACGGGACCCGCGACGCTTGTGTTAGCAAATGCACTGGGGTTTGCTTCTGGCCGCCCGTAGCGCAGGGCCTTGCTGTGTTGCTGGCACGTGTCGGCCTCCTTCTCTTGCTTCCGAGCGCTGCTTTCCCGGAGGCATCTCAAAAATGAGATTAAAGSGGGTATTCTGAGCAAATTACAGAACGGCAATTTCCTGGGACGTTTAGTGACCAGCCTCTGAGCAAAAATGTGCTGGAGGGCAAGGAGGCAGCTTGGAAAATGTTTGTCTGCCCAAAGTGGGGGTTTGCTTACGGAATATCTGCAGTGGGGACGGCTGCAGTTTTGTTGTTGTTGGGGCTTTTTTCTTTTTCTGTAACAATGTATTGTTTTATTTCTGTGTATTGTTTTCTCGTGTTTGAAGCAAGTTCTCTGGAGTGACTTCATTCGCCCTTTGTGTTTCTGATGTAGGACGTTTCCAGGAACTGGCCGTGCCTCGTGATCCAGCCCTTTGCAGCCGGCGCCGTAAGTAAAAATCCTGCCTAAACCCTCACTTTCCCTCATGTTTCCCTAAAAGTTCCCCAAATTTCCCCAGAATTCCCTAATGACTGAAAAAGAAGTGCCACAGGGTTTTACTGGGGGCCTGGAGGAGGAGTTTGGAGCCATCAGGACCTCATTTCTAGGCTATCTCAGCCACCAGGCAGAGCCCAGATGTTTTTTAGCAAACGGCCTCCAAAACTCGGGAGTTGAGATCAGTGTCAAATTCCCCGGCACATGATCCGCTTTGGAGCCAAGTTTGGGGTTGCTTTGGTGTTTACCTAACGTTGCGCGAGCCGAAATGTAGCTCAAGTTTGGGGGTGGGATGCAGAGTCTCTGTGACAAATATTTGCCTACGTTTTTATCTCGGTTACGGGACTTTGAGCTTTGAGGAAGAGTTACTGTATTTTTCACCATGTGGGGTGGGACTGGGAGCTGCAAAAAACGTTACTGTATTTTTGCCCGTGCWATATCTGAGGCATATTTCACTATCTCTCGCTGCCTGGATTTGGCCAGAGTTTGTGGTGGTTTTTGTTTTTCAGAGCTGTGGTCGTTCTTGCCCAAACCCTCTGAACGAACATGGAAGAAGAAAAACAAACATTTGGAAGCAAGAGAGGAAATTCCAGCTGGACACGGGATTCCAGAGAGCTGTGTGTAGTGTTTTCTAAAACATGACTCAAGGGCTGAAACCACCTTGGACTTTCCTGCCCTCGCAGGGTAGCTGCCCTATGGAAGGTGAGCAGGGAGCGCTCATTCCCGAACAAATCGGGCTCTTCCTTTGCTCCATTTCTTCCCTTTCMCAAATAATCTTATCAGCGGAAGGGCTTCCTCAGGTGTGTCCCTGTCAGGTGCTTCCCGAGCCGTTTCTGCAGGTGATAAAGGAGGCATCTGTGCRTCCCGGGGCCCTCTGCCTTGTCCCGCTGCAGCGAGCTGGACGTGTCCACGTGTCGGAGGTCTAGCGCGACGCGGCCGTCACGCCGTCATGCGCTGGGGTTTCACCGTGTCAGCACAAACCGGCCTGCCCTGTGGCCGGGTTCAGAACTTCCTCTCTGCAGATATTGCCCAGGAGCTGTGTAAAAGTCATGCTCTCAGCCTGCGGTCAGGAAACGGCCCTCATTCGGACAGATCACGTACAAGGAGGGCCTGGGCAGAGTCAGGAGGAATTACATTATTGTTATATTGTTATATTGTTATATTGGGACTGCCAGGCAGTCCTTTGACTTCATTTTCGGCAATCAAATCACAGTCACTCAGGAGGTGCCCTGCTCTGCACACAAAGGCCGAGCTGTGAACAAGGAGCTGCTCCCATCATTCCGGATGGGAGCTGGGCCAAGGGAAAACAGGGACTGTCTTCAGGGTTTGGAGCTCCCGGAGGCAGGGAATACATCGGCTTCTGCCCGTGGGCTGCAGCAAGCAGCCCGACCGAGCAGTTGCCTTTTTAATTCCTTTTTTTTTTTTTTTTCTTTTTTCTTCCTTTTTTCCTCCTTTTTTTTTCCCTTGTTTCTTCCTTTCCAACACTCTTGGTGTTGGTCATCAGAGTGTTTTGACGCGCGGCCGTACAGCCCAACGTGCCCCGTCCTGGCTGAGTTTTGCCTTGTTTTCCCCGAGATAAGGTGCCTGTTTGTGCAACGCGGCTGATCTAGAAAGCAGAATGTGGGACACTCCTTATCTCCCTGACATTTCACCGTGGCTGGCACAGCGTGTCCAGGCTCACGGAGGAAACGTTCCTTTTATTAATGGGCCGCTTGGGCAAGCGCTTATTAGCCATGCTCTTGCGCAGCCTTTCGTGAAACAGCCTGGTGAGGTTTATGCTGGTTTGCTCATGGATAAAACCAGCCCAGATGGATAAAACCAAGCTGCAAGAGCTTGCAGTTTACACGCTGCTGGGCAGCCTTCCTCCTTGGTCAATCACAGACAAAAAGGTAGGTAGGAAGTAAGCACAAAACACACTTAGACTTGAAAATAAATCGTTTAGTGAAATAGTTTAGTGTGTGCAGTTTCTGCAGGACTTGCTGGAGTACAAAAATGTGCTTTTCAGTGAGCCTGTGCTYCAGGTGGCCTTTGGCAATTCTCTCTGGCCAAGTGTGCTGGAAGTAAGTGCAAACGTGGCAGAATGCATGAAAACACTAACGCAGATCTGCCCAGCACTTCCTACTACCTTTTATTTTTTTTTCTCCCTTTACATAAGCCTCTCTTTGGGAGGGGAACATAAAGATTTCAAGTGCTGTCAGGCTGCCAAGGCAATAGGTAGGCGCCACCGGAGGCGATACGTCTAATTGCTTCTGATAATTAACTGTGAGAACGCAGCCCTCGGCACCGTGACTTCACCCGGCYGGGATCACGCACTGCCCTGCAATGAAGCGCTGTGAAAAGTGCTGCTTGGAGGAAAGGGGAAGGGAAAAAGGGGAAAAAGAGGGGGAAAAAAAAAGGACATTTAGTTATTGTCAGCCTCGTGAGAGGCGTCATTGCCAGGGCTTGCAATATTCGCACTGAATTTCAACACTTGTTTTCAGCCAAGGCGGAAGTTTGGGGAGCCCAGTGTTGCTGTGATTTCCCTCTAAGTAGCAGATTTCCAGCCCTCAAGGCCAGAGCAAGCTCGAACCTGGGAAACGCTGCGAGAAAACAGAATAAAAAAGATAAACAAAGTAATAAAAGCCACCGTGCAGTGAAAATAATGAGACTGAATGGCTGCGTAGTGCTGAAAGGAGCTAAAATAACGACCCCTTTATCAGAGGGCGGTTTGTTCCTCTCGCCCTTTGGTCCCTCGGCGGCCTCCTCAGTAACGAGCTTTAGGGTTTAATTAGCTATAGGCTGGCCCCACATCTCGCCCCGATGTCCGAGGGCGAGCGCTGCAATAAACACCACGCCGGGACAATGGCGGCCGCCCCGCAGCCGCTGCGAGGCCCCTCCGAGGCTGAGGGGCCTCGTGGCTCTGCGCTCGCGTCGCGTGGGCCCCAAGGCCGGGGGTTTTGCGCGTTTTGTAGCCGTTTCTCGCAGCCGTTTTCGGGGTCGCCGCGGGGCCCCCTCACGCGCGTGGCGGGGGGAGGGGGGAGCCGTTGCGCGGCCCCGCCCCCCGCGCGCGCGCTGCTGAGTCACGCTGGGCCAGCAGAACCGAGGGGAGGGGGCGGGGGGCGGGGCCGCGCAGGGGGCGGGGCCGGCGCGGTGACGCGGCGCGGGGGAGGCTATAAAAGGCGCGGCGGCGGCGCCCGCGGCTCAGTCGCGCCGGCGAGGCAGAGCGGAGCGGGTTCCTGCGTCAACAGTGCTTGGACGGACCCGGCCGCGCCCGCCTCTCCCGCCGCCCAGCGCCATGGCAACGCCGCTCTCCCAGGTGCGCCAGAACTACCACCAGGACTGCGAGGCCGCCATCAACCGCCAGATCAACCTGGAGCTCTACGCCTCCTACGTGTACCTCAGCATGGTGAGGGAGCGCGTGGCGGGACGGGGCCCCTGGGGAGGGCCGCGAGGCCTCGGCCTGCGGGCGGGGCGAGGCCTGGGCCTGGGGCCCGCCGCGGGCGGCCGAGCTGGGTGGGTTTTTAATTATTCCCCCTATTTTTTTTTGTGCTGGGGGCGGGTGTTTATCAGCGCCCGCCGCCTCTTGGCGGGTCGTTGTCGGCTCTGCGCTGGCGGTTGGCAGCGGGCCCGGCGCTTTCCGCGGGGCCCGCGCGCGTTGGCGGCCACGAGGCTCCCCCGCCGCCGCGCTGCGCAAATAAACAAGCGGCCGCCGGGACAGAGGCGCCCATTGAGCCTCCCCCGTGTCGTGGGCAAAACAAACAAGCCGCCACAGATGCCGTTTTGTCTGCAAACGACAATATCTTGTGTTTGCTGCTGAGCGCTGGTAAAATGCGTGTCCAGCTGTGGTCTCTTCAGAGTGCCGCTACTTTGCGAAGGGGGTTTTCCCGCTTTCCCGCGGCGTTGTCACTGCTGCTCCCGGTGCCCGTGGCACCCGGAGCAGCGCTCRAGCCTGCGCTTTCCCCTTTGCAGTCCTACTACTTCGACCGTGACGACGTGGCCCTGAAGAACTTCGCCAAGTACTTCCTGCACCAGTCGCACGAGGAGCGCGAGCACGCCGAGAAGCTCATGAAGCTGCAGAACCAGAGGGGCGGGCGCATCTTCCTGCAGGACATCAAGGTGAGGGGAGGAGGGCCTTGCCGTGCCCTGCTGCACATCCTCCCTCAGGGAGCCTCACGGGTGCTGGTGGCCTCTTGCCAGGACTTGTCACCTCCTTAGTCTGGTGACTCGCTTACCCTGGGGACATGAAGTCGCACTGAGTTTCCAGTTCCTGGTTGTGGCTTCCCACAGGTTAATTGGCAGTCTTTTGTTCAAATCACCTTTKTTTAGGCTATTTAGAACAGCAGAAAGTAACTGATGTTGCATTTAATGTACACAGAACTTACCTCTTTGGTAAAGACTGGCGTGTTTCCTACAGAATCCTCTTGCCTTGTGATATTAGCTTGTGATGGGAGGGGAGAAAGGAGCTCTGCCTGCACTACAGGAGTTCAAAAAAACAAATATGAGGCAATTTTAAGGGRATGTGGATGGATTTGGATGTGTGTATGGGCCTTGGGAGATCCAAGCTTTCTGGAAATACCTTAATGCCMCAAATTTGAGTAGCAAATGCAGAGAAAGCTCCCAGTGTGGTAGGTGGTTTCTGTAGTGAGTTAGGCCAGGCCAGAGCGGCTTCTCCCTCCCACTGGCTCCRCGGGTGCTCACGAGGGTGCTGTGCTTCCAGAAACCAGACCGCGATGACTGGGAGAACGGGCTGACGGCCATGGAGTGCGCTCTGCACCTGGAGAAGAACGTGAACCAGTCGCTGCTGGAGCTGCACAAGCTGGCGACGGAGAAGAACGACCCGCAYGTAAGTGCTGGGAATGGAGCTGGGAGGGGTGCACGGGTGCCCCTGCTGAAGGAGGGTGCTGGGCTGCGCCGTGGCCCTKGCGCTGGAGCTGTGGCCACCCCTTCCTGGGAGAGGAGCCTCGGGCGCCCGAGGCCTCCCCTGCCCCGCGGCAGCTGCTCGTGTGTGTTCGGGTCTTGCTGGGTTTGGACTTAGATTCCTCGCTTGAGGCAGCAAGAGGAAAAAGCATGTGAGCTCTGTGGAAGAGGCCTGCTCCCGAGGAGATGAGCTTTGATTTTAAACCCATGGATGAGTGAGGTTTTGCAGGCCCTTTCCCTGAATATGGAGCATGAGCATTTTGGAACATGGTGGCCAAAGACATCGGTTTCTTCACAGCTGCAAGTTTAAACRTAGGGGTTGAACCAGCAAGGCCAGACTGGGGTTTTTCCTGTGTTGGGAGGATGTTAGTGTGTCACGTAGTGCTCCCAGAAGTGCCCTGCGCAAAACCGAGGGAGGTAGAGGCTCTTAGAAAACAGGGCAGAACTCGGTGCATTCCGGCACTGCGGAAGCAGAGCTGGAGCTTCTCAAGCACCTTCTGAAGCTTCCAAGCTGTGGCTCCGTTGTCCTCGAGGAGCCCCTGTCCCCGCTCCGGGGCACAGGCAGTGCTGTCCAGCCTAAAGGCAACTCTTGTCTCCCGCCAGCTGTGCGACTTCATCGAGACCCACTACCTGGACGAGCAGGTGAAAGCCATCAAGGAGCTGGGCGACCACGTCACCAACCTGCGCAAGATGGGGGCGCCCAAATACGGCATGGCCGAGTACCTGTTCGACAAGCACACCCTGGGGGACAGCGACAACGAGAGCTGAAGCCCCCGGGGGCCACCCTGCTGTGCTGGGCGGCCTCCTGCCCCGCCGCCCAGCAGTGCATGTGTGCAGAGCTGCCCGAGGGAGCYGCTCTGCTGCGCTCTACCAAATGACACCCCTCTTCTCTCTCGTGTTTTGTGTACCACCTTGCATCCAATAAAGTGACTTGGCTCCACGTGGCTTTGGCTGTTTCTGAAGGGAGGGYACCCCGTGCCGTTGAGGACAGCACYYTAGCCTGGCCTTGCATGAGAGGGAATACTCTAGAGGGGTCATGTTTTGCTTGTTTGCTTAGCGCTATTATAAATCTTTTTTTATTACTATTTCCCATCCAGTGGGATCTGCAGGAGTTGCCCCCTGTTTAAAGTTCCATTTAAAAGGGTCTCGCAGTGAAAGCTGCTCCGATTAATGTGCAAGAAATGGGGCTAGGTGGAGACAGCAGCAGTGCAGGAATTGGTGTGGGGCAGCTGAGCTGCTACCCTTGGAGGAGGGAGGGTGGGTAGTTGTTGGGGTATAGGGGACTAGGAGGGTGTGAGAGGCCCTGGCTCTGCTGCTGTCCTCAAGGGCTTGTTTTCTGCGTGCCCCTTGTTGCATGGAAATGAGGAAATGAAACTGCTTTGCCTTGACTTCAGCCTTGCTTTTATTAGGGGAGCTTAGTCAGAACTCGGAGCTTTGAAATTGCTGCTCCGCCTGGGAGTGTTGTCCTGTGGGAGGCAGCTGTGATGTGGGGCTTGCAAAGGTGACCCCAGGCAGCTAAATATGTCTGGAGTGACACCCCTGAGCCTCCCATTTTGGGGCCAGCCCTGCCCCCATGTCCTGCTCGCTACCCAACGTCCCGCAAGGCTCCAGCTCTCCCTGCAGGGAGGATGGATGGGTATTTTTGGGGAGGAAGTGGCACTTCTGCTTGGGTCTGTGTCTGTGCGCCAGCTCCCTGAGGACCCCTCTTGAGGTTCCCCATGAGCAGGGCCATTGTTCCACCGTGAGGTACCTGCAGTACCCTGCCAAACCCATGGGCGTGAGGATGCTGTGACGGGATGGAGCCACTGTCAGGGAGCTGCTCGACGGGCTGGAGCTGCCGTCGTGGAACCACTCGATGTGCTGGAGCTGCCGTCGGGGAGCTGCTGGATGTGATGGAGCCGCTGTCAGGGAGCTGCTCGATGGGCTGGAGCCGCCGTCGGGGAGCTGCTTGACGTGACGGAGCTGCCATCAGGGAGCTCCTTGACGTGACGGAGCTGCCATCAGGGAGCTACTCATCGCAGGCGCCTTCACTCGTTTCCAAGATCACTTCCATGAGCCCCACGTAGTCGCCCTCCGCTAGGGAGATGCCGGAGTCGTTGGGAGAAGGGTTCTCGGCGCGTCTCGGCTCTTTGGCGGCAGGGAGGGCGGTGCTGCYGTTCCCGCTGTCCCTCGCAAGCCCTGGCACCTCGGGATGCTGCTCTGGAGCAGTGGTGGCCTCCTCTGAACTCAGGCTGTGAGCGTCAGGGCCCGCGCTCCCCGCGTGGGACCTCTCCAGCACGGGGGACGTCAGCGGGGTGAAGGAAAAGCAGAGGGAGGCGCTGCCGCCGGGGGTCTTGTTGCTGGGGGTGTGAAAGGCGCTCGAGTGCTCCGAGCYGGGGGTGGCGGCCGCTGCGTTCTCCAGCGGCAGCCAGGGAGGGGGGCAGCCTTTTGGGCTCCTCAGGCTCCTGAAGCTGCCCTGCTTCTCGTGCTCCGGGGAGTCTGCCAGGCAGGGGAATTTAGGGCTCCCTGACGCTGAGGACTGAGCTCCCGGGCTCCCCAAGGCGGCAGCTTCTCTGCTGCTATTGCTCAGGCCGCTCTGCTCTTCCTCGACGGTCACCACGAGGGTGTCGGGCGCTTTGCCCCGCTCTGCCGCGGGCCAGACGAACGTTTCCTTCAGCGCGGAGCCGATGGAGCTCTGGCTCTTGTAGGTGTCGCTCACCCTGGAAGGCGAGTTGGCGACGACGTCCCGAAGAGATGTGGAGCACGCGGCGATGCTGGARAGCGCGGGCGGCTTCTTGCGGCCCTGCCGCCTTGACGGGAAGATCATGGGGATGGAGCTGATGGGGGTCTGCGGGGCGCTGTAGAAGCCGGGCCTCTCGTAGAAGGGGGTTGACATGAAGGCATCAAAGTCCCTCAGCTTTCCGTCCTCGCCATCCCACTGCTCCTGGGCGCTGGCGTCTCCCCGCGGCTGGTTGGTGCCGCAGGGGCTGCCGGGCTTCGCCACGTCCTGGTACGTGTAGTGGGCGAAGGGCGACGGGGGCTCCCCGCGCCGGCGCAGCAGGTTCATGCGGGACGACGACCTGGAGAAGGTCGGCGAGTGGACGCCCAGCAGGCGGCCCAGGTGTCCCAGCAGCGGCGTGGAGTGGTTGGCCTCCTCGTTCTCCTTGATTTGCTCCAGCGGCTGGAACTCCATCTCTTCCTTCTGCATGCTGGGGAAAGGCAAGAGGGCCGGTTACGCAGCTGCGGTGCGTGGCAGCTTCTGGTGGGCTGCAGCACGGGCGCTGCTGCTGGCAAACCTCTGTCTTCCTGCACTCAGATGTGCATTGAGGAAGGCAGAAGATGCCCTCTGCCACAAGGCGGGTGGTGTAAGTGCCTAGAGGAAGCTTTTTCCATGGCAGATGCTGGGCTTCACCTTGGGCTGAGCCTAAAGCTCTGTCAGAGCAAGATTTCAGAAGCTTTGGAGAAGGAGGCTGTTTCCTCACGCCGTCCTTGGGGGTGCCCTGCTGCAGATCCCCGCTCTGCTGTACCCATGGGTGGACGTGTCCACCTCGGCGCTCCGCTCGCGCTCACCTGATGTCAAAGGTGGAGCCGAGGAACGAGGGGCGCTTGTACTCAGCGGTGGCTGCCGTGTAGGGTGGCTGCGGGTCAGGCTCATTCCAGTACAGGTCCTTCTCCAGAAGGGGCAGATCCTGGTGCATCTCGTCCACTGCCATAAGGGAGACCTGTGGAGCACAGCGGGGACGGCACAGGGGTGAATAACTGGGGGGAAGGCGGTGCTGGAGGAGATGTTCAGAGGGCAATGCTCAGTAGGACGGGAGAGCTCCACAGCCCGGGACCATGGCTGCCCTCTCTCTGCTGCGTGTGGGGAAGTTGGGTGCTCTGTTCCCTGTCTGCCCACCCATCTCCCCTGGAGATACTGGGGCCGTCGGAGCACGGGCAGCACCCTGGAGCAGAGGGCCGGGGGAAGGGAGCCCGCCGCCGCTCTACCTGCAGGTTCCTGTCGATGAGCCAGTTGGCTTCGAAGTCGTCGTCGTCCTCCCCAAAAGGGTTGATGAGCTGCTCAGCCACCTGCGTGTGCAGAGCGCACGGGAAGGGACATGCCCCAAACTCGGAGCCCCGGGACCCTCCCAACGAGGGGCAGCTTGAAAACGGGGAGGCTCGGGCATGGCTGGAAGTCCTTGGAGCTGGTGCAAGTTCCCCAGCTCCCGCTGCGATCGCCCTCATGCTGCTCTGCTCCCCTTGCGCCCTGCACCGGACGGGTGTGCTGGCTAGGGCTCTGCCCCGCGGCCAGGACCTGCCCCGTTGCCCGCAGGCCAAGTGCAATAGCCAGCCCTGCTGGTGAGCACAGCCCAGGAAAGCCCTTGTGTGGGTCCAGTTGCAGCTCTGGGCACGTCTTCCCGCGCTTACCTTGAGCCAGCCAGCATAGAAAAAGAACTGCAAGAAGGTGAACACAGGTACAAAGAGATCTAACTCGTGGCCGGGATAGGCCTTTTCTGGGTCCAGGAACTGCCGCCCGATGAGACACGCCAGGAAGAAGCTGTAAACAGCCACGGTGACCACCTGGGAAAGAGGCCAGAGGAGCTGAGAAGCCAGCGGCCTCCCAGGGCCTCTGCAAAGCGCTGCCAGCCGCGAGCGGGGCTGCTGTGTCCGCAGCCCTCGGGATACCCTCAGTGACGACCGCTCGAGCACTGCGCTCTGTGGCGCACAGGACACTGCGCCCGGACGCTGCCCGTGGAGCTGCAGCCACACGGAGCAGGGCCGGCAGCATCAGCAGTGGGGCTGGGGAGCAGCCAGATGCTGCCACGGCTGCCCGGGAGCTGCTGGGCACTGAGCGCGGCTCTGCCGTGTGCCCTGGCCCGGCGCCATCGGAGCTGGTGCGCGGAGCCGGCTCCGGCGGCGGGGGCTCCGCGTCTCTGTTTTCACTGCATCTGCGTTATCTTTTGCCCTTGGAGGGTTCGTGCCTGGGTAGAGGTGACGGTGTTTAAGTGATGGGAACAAAGCACTGATGTGAGCGCGTGCTGGGGAGAGCACCTGCATTGTGGGGGGGTCTGGGCATCCGCGGGCCTCCCGGCAGCACGGGCAGCGCACGGGGCGGCCTCACCTGCGTGTAGACCAGGGGGATGCTGATCCAGTCATACCCGTAGAGCCGCCCGCACTGGCTGCGCAAGGTGTTGAGCTCCTGGTGTGGAGAAGAGCAAGGCAGCGTCGGCACCAAGCTCCTGTCGCCTCACTGCGGGCACGGGCGCTCTCCATCCCGGTCCCCCAGCTAGCCCTGGACCTGCTCCTTGCTGCCTGGGGTCTCCAGCTCAGCTCCCGCTCCCTTCCCCACTTCTAGCTATATCTCCTCGCCACAGGATCAGCTCAGCACATGAGGCACAAAGTGTCTCCGACCCCACAGGGAGCTGCCATCAATAGCCCAGGGGGAGATGCCATCTCCGGGCAAATGGGTCTCGCTCGGGTTAGCAGAAACAATGCAGTTCTCTTTGCACATGAATGCCACCTCCCCATCCCTACTTGCCGCCTGCCCTCTGGGAAGCCCTGTGGAGAGCAGAAGGTGAGGTGGTGGTGGGTGCCCCTGTGCTCGCTCACGTTGAGGATGCCCTGGAGCAGCACGCTGTCCCGGATCCGCCCCTCGTTGCGCGCCTTCACCGCCAGGTTGGAGAACCACACGCACGGGATCCAGAACTTGTTGTGGGGCGAGTTCAAGCTCTCAAACTTCTTGTGTTCTTCAGGCGTCATGAGGCCTGAGYGGGAAAGAGGAGACATGGAAGGGATGGCTGTAGAGGACAGGGGGGATTAACCTGATCTCAAATGAAAACATCTGAATTTCATGTGGCCAACACTGCTTGTAATCATGGGAGAGATGAAGGCACCCGCTATTAGGGAGACATCTGAAAAGAGGACAAGTCTCAGTGGTGAAACGCTGAGTTACAGCGGCGAGAGGGGCAGGATTCATCCCATCTCCCTCTGGATGCCTGCAGCCTGTTTTCCTCTGCCCCAACACAGCCAGTGGGATGCTGTGGTGCTGCCAAGGGTGCCCTGGTCAGCCTTGCTCCGGGTGTCTGTGACAATCGGGCTAAGTGGTGTCCTCGTGCCTCTTTCTGGACTGTGAAAGGGGCCCAGGCGATGGGGCAGGTCTCCCCATTGGGAGATGTGGAGCACTGCTCAGCTCAGGGCCTCGTCGAAGGCCGCGCGGGTACTGACCTGCCCGCACCACGTGCTCCATGCTGGGGAAGCGCTTGTAGACGGCGGTGCTGACGGAGCGCAGGATGAGCACGCTGCACAGGTTGCCGTAGCGCATGAGCGTGCGGCGCAGCAGCCGCCCGTACTCGTCCTGCCCGTCCACGTTGCACGAGACCAGGTTCATGATGCGGTCGGGCCATGGGATGCTCTCGTACTGCGCCCACCAACGGGACACCACCAGGGCCACGTAGAAACCTAGAGCAGGAGATGCGGGTGCTCGTGCAGGGGTGGCAGGGCCAGGGGCAATCCAGGTCTTTGTGCCAAAGGCGGAACGTGCAAACTGGGCTTTCCTGGTGCTATTGGGCCTTCCCACACGATCCCAGGACATGTCAGCCCATCTGGGACACACGCTGATGGAGCCTCCGTGGGGAGAGCGAAGGGCCCGCTCAGACAGGGACTCTCCTGCATGCCCAGCTCTATCCAGGCGGGCCCCTTCCCTCCCCTTCCCTCCCCGCACTCCCAGGGCTCCTCACCCAGCACGAAGGACACGGGGATGAGCTCGGCGTAGTTGTTGCAGTAGAGCGCCAGCTTCTCGAACATCACCCGCTGGCTCTCGCTCAGCAGCAGCCTGAGGAGCAGACACGGAGGCGGCGCTGGGACCAGCGACAGCGTCCGGGCCAGGGACTGCCCTCGTGGCTCTCGCTCGGGACAGCGTGAGGGCTCAGGGATCCCTCAGTGGGTCTAGGAGGGTGCTCACCTGTAGACGAGGCTGATGGTGAAGTAAAGCGCGATGAAGATGAGGAACTCGGAGTAGAGCAGTTTGTAGATGCTCCCCTTCCACTGGAGCAGCAGCTGCGAGAAGGTGCCCAGGCGGGCATCGGCCACGCGGTTGGTGTAGGTGACGGTCATGGCAGGGCCTGGCGGGGACAAGGCGGCAGGGGAGACGCAAGGGCAGCGAGGACGTGGGAGGAAGGAAACAGACACATGGTAATTAAAGAGGATGGAAAATGAGATCGAAATACAGGTAAGACTGAGAGAGAYCGGGAGGAAACCCATCCTGGCAGGCAGTTATTTTGATGAGCTTTCCATGTTCCCGCTGTCCTTGAACCACGTGGAGCGGGTTACAGTGACAGAGGACGTATGTGCTGGGGAAACCTGGCTTTAGTGTTCGATTTGCAGCTGGAGCCGGCTGGTTGCGGGGACAGTGCTCACATGATGCTTCTCTCTGCCACAAATTGGTTGCTTAAGGTTAATTTCCAAGGTCACAGCCTCCCAAGTCACTCGCGGCTTTCTTTTTTTCTCTTATTTTTGACTCCAGAGAAGCCCCTTCTGCAAATCTGCTCATCGAGAAGTGCCCTCCTGGGCAAAGAAATCCCAAAGGGAGGCCAGAACCCGGACAGAGGTCCCGSGGTGCTACCCCAAGCTTTGCAACACCCGTAGGGCCGCTGTCTCCAGCTGTGGGCTGGGGACGGTGCTGGTCCCGGTCCGGCAGCAGAACCACCCTCCCTGCGTGAGACCCGCTCTTCCAACCACACGTTGGACATTAATTCCCGAGGGAGGGAAAAGGCACCCAGGCGCCAGGGCTGCCTCCCAGCCAGAGCACGGGCTTCTACCCTAACCCTGGGTAAGTAATTACTTATCACCAATTAATAATCGGGCTATTTGCATCAGCGTGAAGTTGTATGAAGGAAGGCCCATAGGTCATGTAGGCTGGACATGACAGTCTCGAAGGTCTTTTCCCACCAGGATGATGCTGTTATTCCTCGTTGTGCCGGCATTTCTCTAACAGAGGCACTAATGTTAACAGTGCAGGGGCWCTGAGTGATGGAGCCACCACCTACACATTGGTACGTACAGCAGCCGAGGGCAGGGGAAATTGGGTCCCTGCTTCCAATGAAGAGAAATCTCAGTGAAGGCCACACGGTTTGCAGGGGATCGGGGTGTCCCCAGTGACCTGGCGCTCGGTGGGATGGACACGGAAAACCAGTGGAGCCACAAAGTGGTCCCAGTTTTGCCTGCTGGGCACTGCTCCCGCTTTGGGTYGCCCTTCGATGGCCCTCGGAGCGTCTCCGAGCCCATGAGAGGGGCCGAGGCGGCACCGCGGTGAGAAGCGCCCGTTCGCTGGGGGCCGCTGGCGGGAAGCCACCGTCTTCTCCGTGCTCTGGGCCCCGAAAGCAAGCGCTTTTTCGTTGCGTAACTCAAATAGAGATCCGCTCTTTTACCAAACATGGAAAACCTCCGCTCTTCTCCGTGTAAATAATGGCTGTCCCCCAGGTCGGCGCCGCCGCGCTCGGGCCGTGGGGCTGCGTTCCCCATGGCCGCGCGAGCTGCTGGTGCGTGCGCCGCCCACCCGGAGCTTCCTCTGCTGGGAGAGCCCCCAGGGGCAGGGAGGTTTCCCCGGGAGCGGACGGGAGCCCCCATGGATACAGCGGGGAGCCGGAGCGCCAGGAGAACGAGCTCGCGACGCCGGATAGACGGGCCGAGTGTGGCGGCGTCGAGGGGCCCATCAGCTCGTGCCGCGCTGGGTACTTACGGCGATGGGCTCCCGAGCGGGACGAGCTCCTGCAGGTGTCCTGGCCCGGCCCTTCGTGGCCCGCCGCCCCTTGGGGATTGAAGCCGGCAGACGGGGCGCGCTGAGACCCACTTGGGAGCCGCGGCTGGTCACTTGATGCCCTAATCCCCTCCGCGTTACAAAAGCGACTCTGTTGTCTTTTGCCCCGTTCCCTGCTAATCTTGTGAGTAAGCCCCGGGTGTTTATAGAGGCTGCCGGAGGAGGGGAGGCAGGGCTGGCGGCTCCGYGCTGCCGCGGGCTCCCCGCTGCCAGAAGAGAGGCATTTGCCTCTAATTCTTTCCTGTTTGGGCCCTCTCTCTGTGTCACAATCTCCCGGGAGCTCCAGGAGATTAAGCAGGGCTGGAATTTTCCACGAATGCTATAGAAATGCGTCCCCCCAAGGGGCTGTGTGGCCTGTGCTTCCCAAATTCTGTGTTCCCAGCTCCCCGGATCCCTGGGAGCCCCTCAGTMCCCTGGGTCTTCTCTGGAAACCCCTGTCTCAAGCCGTTCCCAGCAGGCGTTTCTCTGTAGGGTTCCTCCACCTGCCACCCTGTCCCTTGCGTATTCCCTGCAGAACAGGGACCAAAGAGTTTACTTTTAAGTCATTCCTCATCTGTACCCGTCTCCCTCCTCCTCCATCCAGCGCGGGATCCTTCCTCTCTCCTGCCAAGGCCCCTTTTGGGAGATTTTTCTTCCCCGGACCTTGGGCGCATGGCCTGTGTGGGGCCAGCCATGGTGCACACTTGGGCACGGGGCTTAGCCTGACCCTCAGCTCTTCAGGACACCTCTATGCCCCAGACACTTGCCTTTCCCCCGGGCGCTGTTTGTGGAGCTGCTACAGCTTTCCCGGCCTCCTTCTGGAGATGGAGGTGCTGAGAGTCTGAAGCCAGGCTGAGGTCCTACCTCAGCCTCTGCCCAGCCCCACAGGTCTGCTCTGACCTTCCCACTCCCCTTCACTTGGCCAGCCCAGGAGCTGCCCTGGGCAGCCTTGGGGTCTAAGGCAGGGGCTCTGGTGGAGCTCGTGGTTTTCTGCTCGTTACCGGCCTGGCTCTGCTCCTGTTAGTGCTGAGATAACACGTCCTGTGATCGCAGCGTGGGCTTCTGCTGATTGCCCTGGGTTACTGCGGCTGCACAGGCCAGCAGCACAGAACACAGTGCTCCGCTAGGGCATGGGGACATCCCCACGGCTACGAGAAGTGGAGACCTGGCTCCCTGGGGCTGCAGTGTGTGGTTTTCCAGCACTTTTCCCCCTAAGAAGGCAGCAAAGTCCCTACTGAAAACAAATGAGGAGCTTGTTCTCATAAGCTCCTCGTCTGCCGGGCCCTCAAGGCTTATGTCTCCGACAGGTCTTGCTTAACATCATCATCATCATCATCATCATCATCATCATCATCATCATCATCATCATCATCATCATGGCTTAATGTGTCCCAGCTGTGGGTTTCTGCCATCTGTGTGGCTGAGCCCAGGCGAGAGGAGGGGACCTTCATCTGCTTCAGCAGAGGAAGGCACTGCAAGGAAGATGGTTGGGGAAGGGGACCCCCATAGGCCCCCTGGGAGGCCYGAGTTGCTTGGGGCGAGCGGGGCCCATCCAAGGCGGCGCGGCGCTGCTGCCGCGGGCGATAGCGGCCTGGCAGAGCAGCGTGTGCTGGGCAGGGCCCGCGGGCGCCTCCCCTCCGGGCTGCGGGGCCAGATAGGGCCACGCTTGCCGCCCGTGCCCGCGCCGGTGCCTTATCACAGGCTCGTCAGCGTGGGGCCGGGCCATCGCCGGCCRGTCCCGCCATGTTCTCGGCCTTGCTACGGGGCCGGCCTTGCTGCAAGGCCCACAGACCCGCGCTCCTAGGTCGAGCTCAGGAGAAGGCCTCTTTTGGGGAGGAGGGATTTGTGGATGGGCAGGCTGAGGCTGCTCTTGAAGCCTCCCATTGCTGGCACAGCTTGAGATATTCCCTGGAGCTGCTGGGATTTTGCTGCTCCCTAAGCCTCAATTTCCCCCGGATCCCTGCAGATGACGGCCAGTGAAAGAAAAAGCCCCAGTGGTTCAGGCATCCCGACAAGAAAGAGCAAAACCCCAAGCCAGGATCTTGGCGGAGGGATGTGCTGGCACCTGGGGACCTCTGCTGCCCTCCTCTGAGAGCAGCTCAGCACTTCTGTAGGAAATGTGTGAAAAAATGGGTGGGTTTCATACGGAAGCAAATAGCCGAGGGGCTGCTTGGGCCTCAGATGTCACTGAGTCACTGTGACAGGCAAGGAAGCCCCTCCATGGGTGCCCTAGGGCCCCCTCCATGCTGCTGCGTGCTCTAGGTGCCTTTTATTTTCATGGCAATGACATGCAGTCTGGCTTTCCCAGCTCTGGGATAACACCCTGCTCCTCCTCCTCCTCCTCATGGCCACGTGTCATTTTGTTTGGGTGTTGGGATTGGAATCTATGGGCAGCCCCAAGTGGACCTGGATCCCTCTGCCATGGTTGGGAAGGCACCAAAACTTGGAGAGCTGCTTTTGCTCCATGGTAGCACCCCGTTCCTTGTTCATGGATGCTCCAGGGTGGAGCATCAATGTGGTGCCACAACTGATGTCCCTGTGCCAGAGGAAACCAGAGGGAAAGCTTGGGGAAAGGGGATGAGCCCCTTGTGGGAAAGGGCTGATGGGGCTGGAGCTGTTCAGCATGGAGAAGATTGGAGGGGGGTGACTTATCAATGGCCATARGTATCTGAAGGGAGGGTGCGAAGGGGATGGGGCCAGTGTCTTATCAGTGGTGCYCAGTGACAGGACAAGAGGCAACGGTCAGGCTGAAGCACAAGAAGTTCCCTCTGAACGTGATTAAAAACCACAAACGTGTTTCTTTACTGTCAGGGTAACTGGAACACATTGCCCAGAGAGTCTCCATCCTGGGAGATGTCCCAGAGCTGGCTGGAYGGTGCCCTGGGCTAAGCGCTCCGGGTGACTGAGCGGGATGGTCGGACTGGGTGATGCCCAGAGGATTCCAGCCTCTGGTTGGTGCCTCCGACTGTTCAGTGGGCAGAGGGAAGCAGAGGCCAGGGATAACCGGGTATGGGTGAGGAGCAGGGGTGAGGAGCAGGGGTGAGGGCAGCACGAGATGAGCTGCACAAGGCGAAGGGCGAGCGGTTAAAAGGGCCTGCAGTGGTGAGGAGGCACCGGCGGGTGCTCCACCAGGCTTTGTGTCTGGCTGGGAGCTGGGGAGCTCCAGATGGGGCATCGTGGCCCCTCACTACCTGGAGCCAGGGATGTTCCCGCGCGTGGGAACCGTTAGGAGCAGCACCCCACAGCGCGGGAGCCGCGTCAGCCCCACGGCGCATGGCTGGGTGCCTGCCCGGCGCGCTTGCCTAACTCTTCTGACGGGAGGGGACACACACAGGGCGACCTCGGAGCACGGGGGAATCCCAGCGCTTTATTTCCCGCACGCGGAGCGCTTAAAAACCCCGCGCCGGCCCCACGGCCATTA